ATGTGTGGGAGCAGATGGTATATGGGATATCTCTGTGCCTTCTGCTCAATTTTACTGTGAACCCAAAACTGCTCTAAAAACTAAAGTCTATACAAATAATTCAGTGAGGAAGTTCTGCTTCTGGTTACCATGCAGTTGGTACACTACTACCTATCTCTCCCACTGATTATAACTAAAGATTCTAGACAAAGCACAAAAAACACCTACATGAGGAATCTGAAAAGTAAGCAAAAGCAGATTTCTTGTACCAGAGAGTGAAGTCATGGAGAAGTAACTGGTACAGGTTGAATTACCAGGTTTCTTCTACACTTTTCGCTTTCAGCCTTGCCCCAGGAACAAGTCTCTTCATGGATCTGTGCAGCAGCAGTGGCGCAGACAGTTGACAAAGAAATAGAAAACTCGGGCCTGGTTTACAGAAGGTGCTGTGCCATATACAGGCCCTGCCTGGAAGTGGACAGCTGCAGCACTACAGCACTTTCTGGGACATCCCTGCAGGACAGCATTGAAGGGAAACCTTCCCAGTGGGCAAAACTTCAAGCAGTGTGCCTGGTTGTGCATTTTGCTTGGAAGAAGAAATGGCCAGATAGGATTATCTCCCAATTCACAGGCTGTAGTCAATGGTTTGGCTGGACAGTCAGGGGCTTAAAACGTGATTGGAAAATTGGTGACAAGGAAGTTTGGATTCGAGGTATGTGGATAGGGCCTCTGTGAATGGTCAAAAATTGTGAAAATATCTGTGCCCCATGTGAATGCTCACCAAAGGGTGAACTCAGCAGAGGAGGGTTTTCATATTCAAGTGGGTAGGATGACCTATTCTGTGGAGACAAGTTAGCCTCTTTCCCCAACCACCCTGTCACCCAATGGGCTCATAAATGAAGTGGCCGTGGTGGCAGGGCTGGAGGTTATGCCTGGGCTCACCAACATGAACTTCTACTCACCAAGGCCAACCTAGCTACAGCCACCAATGAGTGACCAACCTGCCAGCAGCAGAGACCAACACTGAGTCCCCGATATGGCACCATTTCCTGGGGGTTCGGCTACCTGGTGGCAGGTTGATTGTATTGGACCCCTTCCATCATGGAAGGGGCAGTGTTTTGTTCTTATTAGAATAAACACTCTGAACAAGAATTTGCCTTCCCTGCATGCAAAGCTTCTGCCAAAACTACCCATCTGCTGACTTACAGAATGCCTTATTCACCATCATGCTATTCCACATGGCAATACTTCTGATCAAGAAACTCACTACACAGCAAATAAAGTGTGACAACTTTCCCATGATCATGGAATTCACTGGTATTATGTTTCCCACCATCCTGAAGCAGTTGGCTTGATAGAATGGTGGAATGGCCTTTTGAAAACTCAGTTACAGTACGAGCTAGGTGGCCGTATGTTGCAGGCTATGTATGCTCTGAATCAGTGCCCCATATATGGTACTGTTTCTCCCCCAGCCAGGATTCATAAGTCTGGGAATCAAGGGGTGGAAATGGGAGTGGCTCTACTCATTATTACTCCTAGTGATCCACTAGCAAACATTTTTCTTCCTGTTCCCATGACTTTATGCTATGCTGGCCTAGAGTTCTTAGTTCCAGAGGGAGGAATGCTTCCACCAGGAGATATAACAATGATTCCATTGAACTGGAAGTTAACACTGCTGCCTGGCCACTTTGGGTTTCTCATGCCACTGACTCAACAGGCAAAGAAGGTAGTTTCTGTGCTGGCTGGGGTGATTGATCCTGACTACCTAGGGAGAAACTGGACTCCTACTCCACAATGGAGGTAAGGAAAAGTATTCTGGAATATAAGAGATCCCCTAAGGCATACCTTTGTATTACAATGACCTGTTATTGAGGTTAGTAGAAAACCACAACAACCTAATCCAGGGAGGACTATTAATGGCCAAGACTATTCAAGAATGAAGGTTTGAATGGTGATATAGCACACCTTATATTTTCCTGGTTAGAGCTGGAACCCATACTACTAAGTGAAGTATCCCAAGAATGGAAAAACAAGCACCAGATATATTCTCCAGCAAACTGGTATTAACTGAGTAGCACCTAAGTGGACACATAGGTGCTACAGTAATAGGGTATTGGGCAGGTGGGAGGGGGGAGGGGGGCGGGTATATACATACATAGTGAGTGAGATGTGCACCATCTGGGGGATGGTCATGATGGAGACTCAGACTTTTGGGGGGAGGGGGGGAAATGGGCATTTATTGAAACCTTAAAATCTGTACCCCCATAATATGCCAAAATAAAAAAAAAATGAAAAAAAAAAAAAAAAAGAATGAAGGTTTGGGAGACCTCACTAAGTAAGAACCATAACTAACTGAGATGCCTGCTGAGGGAAAAGGGATTATGGAATGGGTAGTGGAAGAGGGTAGTTATAAATACCATTTATTACCATGTGACAAACAAGGACTCTAATTGTCATAAGTATTTCTTCATTATTTTGTTATGAAATATGTGTATAGGGATGGAGGTTGTGCACATATATATGTATACATATATATTAAGAAAATATCTTTGTTTTTTCCCCTCTCTTATCTCCTGACCATATAAGATAAGATGTATTCACTTTACATCATAGTGTTTAAGTTACAGGATATGATGGAGAAGAGAGAAGGTTACTCAATCAAGTGGATCCTCTTCTGGGAAAAGGGTTAGTATGTTTTTGGTTTTACACAGGATAGTTGTATCCTTTTAGGTGGAAGCATAACCTTGTTATTATTTTTATTTGGAGATTAAGAATGGTTTAAAGAGATGTTTTGGGTGCCAAGTTGATAAAAGGTGGACTTGTGATGGTTAATTTTATGTGTCAACTTGGCTAGGCCATGGTGTCCAGATATTTGATCAAACACCAATCTTGATGTTGCCAGGAAGTTATTTTTTAGATAAGATTAACACTTAAATCAGTATCTTTTGAGTGAAACATACTACCCTCTATCTTGTGGGCCTCATGAAACAATTTGAAAAATTTAAGAGTAAATAGTCTGGAGGTCCCTGAGGAATAGGGAATTCTGTCTCCAGACTGTCTTTAAACTTGAGCTGCAATATCAACTCTTCCCTGGATCTCCAGCCTGTTGACCTACAGTGTAGATTTTGGACTTCATAGCCTCTACAATTCACATGAGCCAATTACTTAAAATAAATCTCTTCCTTTCTCTCTCTTTCTCTCTCTCTGTATGTATATATACACATGTGTGTGTATGTATGTATGTATACACACATACACACACACACACACACACACACGTCCCATTTGTTCTGTTTCTCTGGAAGACTCTAATACATTAAGACATCCAAAAAAAAAAAAAAAAGACATCCAGCCATACTTCTCAAACTTCTATATAAATGCAAAGATCCTATAATAGCAAACTCAATCTTGAAGAATAAAGTTGTATTGTATGTGAATATCCACTTCCAAAATGTGCTTTGATTTTGATCCATTCTAGATTAGTTGTATCTCTAAATGTACATGTACCTATAAATACTTGGAGTACTGCCAGAGTCATAAGAAGCAACTTACATTTCTCTGAAAAACACACCCCAATTTACATAATCAAATTAGGCCATGAAATTCTAAATGTATACAATCTCCCCCCTTTTTTACACTGTCTTCATGAACTGTGGTAGAAACCACACAGGATTACTTTAACTCTCATACTCTCTGGTGAAATAACAAGTCTGGAATCTAGTCCATGTTAATTTATATGTCCTGTGATCATTTCATGTGTGAAAACATTATGGATGTTTGCTCTATCACACCACTTAAAACTACATAAGGAAGCAGTTTACCCCAGAGCCAAACTTACTTTCCCATCAGTAGAAAGTTATGATCTGTCGTGGGATAACTCAGAGGGCTCTACGGGAATGAAATTAATACAATTAATTTGATATCACGAAAACAGAAAACACATACTTTATATCTGTCACAAATTTGAGAGAGGCATAAACAAGATAATGATGCTCTAGGTCCCCCTATAGTAGGCATGGGAGTGCTGGGGCACCTGACAGAGAAGAATATATCCTGGAACACCTACACTAGCAGCAGCTGCACAACATGCATAGTCTCACACTGTGGCAGGATAATGTGTTTCCTATTGCTACCTCAATGGAGTAGTTGGTTCACCCAGTGACTGCTCCACATGCCATCCTGATTATGGTACCCCAAAGAATAATGCAAATGTATTCAAAGGTCCTACACACCAATGTATAGGTGTAGTTCACCTTACAAACTGATCCAAGCAATATTAAATAAAATATCTGACTTTAAATAATTGGGTTTAAAAATATGTAAATATTTGGTGCTGACAATTGAGAAAACACATTAGAAATTTCTTCAGGTAGATGAGGAGGGTGATTAATAATTGTAAAGGAGCATAAAAATACTTTCCTATACTTGCCTCATGATAAGTATTTTACCCAAACAATTCAATGTGAAGTCCACAAGTTCTATTCACACATTCCTTTGTCAAACATTCTTTTGATTTAAAACCTTGAAATTCGATTTCATATTTTCATCAATTTTAAGATCCCAAACACACATGAATTTCATAAGACATAGTATTTTTTCTTGAGGTCAATCCATGAAATGGAACAAAAGCATTTGTTCCAAATGGAACTTCAAAACCAGCAAGACATTTATACTACACGGATCCTTTATCCCTTAGGGGAAACAGGATAGAGGGAAAAGACAGAGATCCAAGGAGGGAAAAAAGATTGGCTATATCATGAAAACCTAATAATGGGAAGTTAAGAATCTTTGTTTATTTACTGTTTTTGTCACAGAATAGCTTCTCCATGCATACCCTAGATCGACCTTAAAATCATCTGGAGAATAAATGTTGCTTTCCTAGTACTAGAGCAAATCTCATGCTAATAAGATTTTGGGGTCAAAACACTGGATCTTGTGGCTTCTAATTGACCATTCCTAATTGTTTAGTTCCCAAAAAGTTCCACCCAAGGAATTGGCAAAAAATCAATATTCACACATCTGAATCAATTTTGATCTCATCACATGAGTATGAGAGTCTTAGATTTATTGCAACTATTATTTTAGGAGCCTCTGAAAATTCTTCTGCTTTTCTTCTGCCCCTTGTGATAGCTTTTCTCTGTTTACTGCTCTTGGGGCAGCTCTTCTGGTATGGTACCAGGGCTGAGGGGCAAGCGGCTAAGGCCTTGTACTAGCATTTTTGAAGAGGATGGATTCTGCTCATTAGGGTTACTAGAGATACACTGCCTATGCATCTGGCAGTAATTACATTTATATCTATTCTGATCCTTATCACATAAGGGAGGGGTTTTTCCTTTCCTTTCAACCTAATAAGGTGCCATATGATTGAAGATTTTCTGTCTCATGTTCCCCGTGAAAATCTTTTTCCTCTGAGGGAATGCTGACCTTTCCCACTGTGTCTCCTGGTGTGTCATCTCATCTCTGTAGTGTGGTTGGAGCCGCCCGTCTGGTAGAGTGGTGAGGTAGTTGCTTCCAGGACTGGGGTTGAAGTTAATGAGGTCTAGGTTTTGCATTTTGGAGAAGGATGGTTGGGAGGTTGATGAAACTTTTGGGAACATTTCTTTGATTGGAATCAGGGAGGAATCAGAATTCAAAGTTGTGGTAACACTCCGTGGTGGATCCATGGAGGTGCAGTCCCAGCTTGAAGCTCCTCTTGGATCTTCAGGCCTGGACAGTGAATTGAAGCTTGAGGTTCTGAAATTACATGAAATTAGTGAGGAAAGGACTGCAACCAAAAGTTGTGAAACGACAAAAAAAAAAAATGATACAAGGAAAAGACAGAACAAGGAGGGTCACAAAAACAATTTTTACTTTTTTATGGACAGAAATATCTCTCTACCTCAAATGGAAATTATATCAGTAATAGTGAAACGTGTTAATGATTAAATATACAGTGAAAGCCATATTAAAGTGACTTCACTTGCCCAGGCTCTCCTCCTTTCCTGCAAGCATGGAAGCCAAAGATCCACTAGTTTTCCGATTATTGTGCTGTATCTTGGGATTTTTTTTTTTTTTTATCATTAGCCATAGTGAGCATACCCAGCAACCATGTCTTGGATTCTTTATATCATTTTCTAATAAAAGGAATCAAGGATTCTAGGAGAAATGGCTGATTCTAGACAACTAAGGAGACATAGCATTTAAATATAACGTGGTATGTTGGAAAGACTGAGGAATTATTACAGACTGGTGCCTACACAAATAAGCCTTCAGTATTGACCCAAGACTTGAGGGGACATTTTTACAATGAGAGTCATTACAAAAATTAATTAACCCAATAACTATTTGATAAGGGCTACCACGTTTCAGGCAGTATAATGAAACAGCATCCTACACTCTATGCTGCAGACAAACTGAACCTCTTTCTGTTCATCAGATGGCTCGTGCTCTCCAACTTTCACAATCCCACCCATGCTGTTCCCTCTGTCTGGGATGCTTTTTCCCTCTTCCTTTGTCTTACCTTCAGCTCTCAGATTGCACTTATCTTTTTCCAGGAGACTTGTCTGTCACTCTGAAATTAGGTTATTTTCTGCTATGTGCAGACAGAGTCCACACAATTACCTTCTTCTCTCTGATAGAAAGCACTAATCACAGTTCCTTGTCAGTGCTTGTTTTATGGAATCTTTTCCAACAGAATAGGAGTTTCTTGAGGGCAAGGATCATGTGTCTTTTCCTCCTTTGGATCCCAGGATCTAATATAACCTAGGACACTGTTTTACATATCCAGTGTGATAGTTAAATATCAGACATAATAAGGGGCTAATAACCAAGTATGAAACCACATATCAAATCGCTGCTCAGCCAACAAAGGTTAAATCTGTATGGAAAAGCATAGTTAGTAAACTCTGTATCTTTACTAGAGAAAACATGATAGAAATTCATTATAAATTCCACTAATAGAGCAATGTTTTATTTAGGTTCAGAATGAGCTAAGTAGAAATGCAATCTAATTGCTGGATGTTTCAGGGAGAGATTTCCTTGCTTATCATAAGATACACACAGCAAGGGTCAGGCCCTTGTTTTCCATTGAATGTCGTTGTGTCTGGATATGGTGCCTAGAACTGTGGCCACAATTTGGCAACACAAGGATATCCTCTTGACTGATGAGAAGCCTATCCAGTAAGGATGGAAGAAGCCCAGAAGTACAGAATTTGTTGCTTTATGGGGTTACTAAACTACAAAATTAATTATGCCTGAAACCACCATATCCATGGAATTTTTGTTATATGAGATAATTTTTCATAATATGTTATTTAGTCATGCTTTCTGCTATACCAAAAATGTATCTTAATTGAGTTATTCTAGTTCTGTCTAGGGGTTCATTTCTGGTCTCTCTTTGTTACCAGGGAAATAAGGATCAGTTCTCTGCTGACTTCTGGGGACCATCCCAGGGACTTTGAAAAATCTCATGTATCCCCTTTGGCTCATCAATAGATTCATTAAACCCACTCAGGGTTGTCCCATTTCTTACAATGTTCACTTAAAAGCTGGGACTCCATTGTTGGTACGGCTGGCTACAGAACACCAGCTCCTTACTTTTGCAATATAATATTTTACCTCCCCTTAGCACAACTCACCTAAGGATAAAGAGAAACATGTGCCTTGAAAGTGTAAACAAAAATAAAAGTATAGAAATGGCACCAACTCCCCTCCACCCTCGCACACTGGTTGGGTACTGGTACACTGGCTCTTGCAGGGGTGTGGGAGGATGTCTTTGATTTGTAGCATTTGCCAGATAATTTCTGTGGGTTAAATACTCCCACCATTGCTGATTTCAAGCTGTTGACAATTTCACAAATGTTTGGAAAAATTCCTAGATAAATATTTTTTATTTATCTGAGAGAAAAGATTTTATTAACTGAGAGACAGTCTCTCTCAGTTGTCTAGGCTGGAGGGCAGTGGCATCATCATAGCTCACTGTTACCTCAGACTTCTGGGCTCAAGTGATCCTTCTGCCTCAGCCTCCTGAGTAGCTGGGTCTATAGGCACGTGCCACTGCACCTGGCTAATTTTTCTATTTTTTGTAGAGATGGGGTCTCACGATGTTGCTCAGGCTGAAATCCTAGATATTTATGGATTGGCTTTTGTAAATCAATATGATCTGGTGATCTGGTTCTAGCCAGCTGGTGTGCTGCTAAACTAAACAAGATTTTCAGGGGTCCTGGTACCCTTCATCTCCTCACTGAGGTGTGACTCTTGGACTGAGACTAGGCAGTTTGTATCCCCACATTTCCCATACTGAAGACAGCAGGGATAGTAGGGATGGGTCTGTCTCATAGACTCATCCTCACAGAATGGATGGAATCCCAGGAGCTATGTTCATATCTCTGACCTGGGCTCAAAACTTGTCTATGCTTCTCATACTTCCTACCCCACAGATATATACAATGACTCTGAAGCACTCAGAACAATAGTAACTTGCCTAAAGTCACACAATTAGTAAGTGATGGAGCTGGAATTATACTTCAGATCTTTCTTTCCTCAAAGCCAGAACTCTTAGCATCTAGGCCTTTCCTAGGGGAACACGTACAATAAATCAAAACACTTTACTAACTAGTTCTGGGGAACCAGGACAAAGACATATTTGATTTAATGACATATCATGATCTAAAGACTGAAGAGAAAGAAAGCTTCAGTTACAGTTCCTTTATTTAACAAGAGAAAATTGTTACCCATAGAGAAAGATTGTTATATGAAGGCTGAGACCTGCTTTGCTCCCGTTTTATTCCTATACCCTGAAAAAGATATTTAAAATAATTAAATAATCAAATAGATAAATAACATTGGAGAGGATGGGGTATAACAGTTACCTTCATACACTCTTGGTAGACAGAAAGGCAGACTAGGAATATACATCGTGATTTAAATGTAAAATCTGTAGGATCCAGACATATTACTTCTAAAAGAGCTTTAATGAAATGATTGGACAGGTATACAAAGGTTTCTAAACAAAGATGTTTACCCTATCTATATTTGAAAAGGTAGAAAAGTGGAAACAAATATATACCTGTATGGGTTTGATTGCCATAAATAAGCTAATTCCATGCATGGCATAATATACATTTAAAATTTTAAGTATGTCTTGAAATCTTCAGGCCACAACCAGTAAATAAAGCTTGGCCTTTGTTAGAGAAGGTGTTAAGATCACAAAGAACATAAGCCCACCCTTGTTTTGTTTTGAGGTCAGAGTATCTCACACATGCTTTTTGTGTTAGTTCAGGCCCTTTGAGTAGCTGGTACTGAAATAGGATTCAACCTGCACAAAATTTATTAGGGGAAACAAGTAATAAACTTATTATGTGAGCTTGAATGGCAAGCTAGGGAAAGCTGGAAGAGCCATCAGACCACAATGCAGGTCTGAACTTGAGTGAAGAAGAGAGAGAGAAAAAAATCAGGTGGGGAGGAAGCATCTTAGACTGCACAGCAGTTCTAAGTAGGGTTTGGTAAGGTCATTGGGGAATCTTTGAGCCAAAGTTGGCTGTCAACTTCTGTTTCTAGATAAAATGGAGTATCAGTGACCATATTTAATCTCCTACCTGAAGCAACAAAATAACTGGCAAAATATATAAAATAATGATTGAGACTTCACTGTACATCAGGTAGCAGAGGACAGTGATCCTTGAGAGAACAGAAATAAAAGAAGTGTGGCCAATGATTGCCCCATCTTATTGCCTTGGGAGAGCTTTCAGAATGTGGCATGTGGAGAGGAAACCCAGGTAAAGCCCAGTAGACTCCCTGAGCTCAGTATCTGAGGAAATCAAGGCAACTAGAGTTCAAAGGGTACTGGAAAGGAGAAAACTGCAAAGAGGGTGAACTCCAGGGATCTTCAAAGGGTCCCTCTCATGTATCCAACAGATTACTGTTCAGCACATGCATGGGAGGTAACTTCCTGAGGCCAGTAAAAGAGCCATCTCATAGGATTAGAGGGAACAGTAGCTAGTGCATGCAGAGGGCTGGGAATAATGCCTGTTCTCACCAGTCAGTTTGGAAAACCTTGGGATTCATGAGACATTGGCTAGAGTGCTCAGAAGAGTCTTTTCTCAGCACTTGTGGAATGATTAGCCCTAGCCTGAGCACTGCTCCAATCCTGCCTAACAAATCATGTTAAATATAAGTAAATGAACAAATAAATAAATAAAATAAAATTGGAGAAGATGAAGGATAATTGTTACTTACATACACTCCTGGTAAGACTGGAAGCCAGGCTAGGAATATCCATCAAGATTTAAATGTAAAATCTATAGGATTTTAAGAGTGTCTCCCTCAGCACCTGGCTGTGAGGTAACTTGCTGGGGCCAGAGAAGAAGCTACCTCAAGGGATTATAGGGGATAATACCTAATGCTTTCACAGCGATGAAATAGTACCTGTTCCCGCCAGCCAGGCTGTAAAACCTCAGGATTCATAGGTAGAGAATTCAGAAGGATCTTTTCTTGGTCGTGGAGAATAATCAGCTGTTGACCACTGCTTTAACCCTACCAAACAAAACATAAAAGCAGGACCCAAAGGGATCAGTGTTCACAAGTAATTTAAATGCATAATAGAAAAAGCACAATAATATTTATAACAACACAAAATATTCATCATTCAAGAAGGTAAAATTTTTAACGAGACATCCCATCAAAACTTACCAGGCATGCAAATGAACCGGAAAGTGCAACCCATAATGAGAAGATAAATCAATCAATTGAAACTGACCCAGAACTGGAACAGATATCAATGGTGATCTAGCACCTCTTATATTATCCTGGATAGAGCTGGAACGCATTCTACTAAGTGAAGTATCCGAAGAATGGAAAAACAAGCACCACATGTACTCACCAGAAAATTGATATTAACTGACCAACACTTAAGTGTACATATAGTAATAACATTTATCGGGTGTCAGGCAGGTGGGAGGCGGGAGGAGGAGATGGGTATATACACACCTAAATGGTGCAGTGCACACCATCTGGAGGATGGACACGCTTGAAGCTCTGACTCAGGCAGGGCAAAGGCAATATGTGTAACCTAAACATTTGTACCCCCATAATATGCTCAAATTAAAAAATAAAATACACTCAAAAAAAGAAGTAGCATACAAGGATATTAAAATAGCTACTATAGCTGTATTCCATCTGTTCAAAAGGTTAAGTTGAGCCATGAAAAATATCAAATAGACACAAATGAACTATGGATGAAAACTATAATGTGAAAGATGAAAAATATACTGGATAAGATTACTAGTAGATTAGATATTGCAGTAGATTAGATACTGCATATAAAACTTGAAGACAGCAATAGAAATTATCCAAAGTGAATAACAGAAAAAAAGATAATAATTTAAAAAAACTAACAGAGCATCAGTGAGCTGTAGGATAACTTCAGACAGTCTCATACATGTGCAATTGGGTCCCTAAAGTAGTGGAGCAAGAGTTGAAGACAGATAAAATATTTGAATAAATAATGGTCATAATTTTTTCCAAATTTGGTGAAAACTGAAAATGCACAGATCCAAGAAGCTCAACGAAGCCCAAGCACAGGTAACATGAAGAAAACTACACTAAGGCACATGATAATCCAATAACTCAAAACCAATGATATAGAGAAAAATCCTAAAAGCAGCCAGAGATAAACAAGACTCATTCATTACAAAGAGATTTCTTCTCTGAACAATGCAAGTGAAGAAATATAGGGACATCTTCAAAGTACTGAAAGAAGAAAAATCCCAGTCAGCCTAGAATTCTATACACAGTGAAAATATCTTTAAAAATAGTATGCTTTGTTAAATTGTTTTATTTTTAATTTCCTTTTAAAATGTAACAACTTTAAAAGCAAATGTTGAGCAGAGGACATATAGAAAAGGAGAGCAATAAGGAAAAATCTGACAATATAAATCTCACATTAAAATCTGTATACCCTGGAGTACTACTCAGCCATAGAAAAGGATGAATTAATGTATTTTGCATCAATTTGGAAGGAACTGGAGACCATTATCCTAAGTGAATTATCTCAAGAATGGAAAAAGAAACACCACATGTACTCTCTAATAAATTCGAACCCACCAATGGGCACACAAGTGCACAAAGGGAAGTAAAAGTCATAGGAAATCAATCATGGGGAAGTAGGGAGGGGCAAAAACCCGCCTAACAGGTACAGTGAACACTATTTGGGTGATGGGCACATTTATACCTGTGACTCCAGCCATGTATCAAAAATACCTGTAACCCCTTAATATTTTGAAATTTAAAAAAAAATCTGTGTGATATAAGCACTGAGTCATTGGCTGTTTAAAGACATAATTTTGTGTACCAGTGTGATTACTTGCCTAGAAAATCAAGAGAATCGTGAGAAAATATCTTATAATAAAATAATGAGAAACTATAAAATGAAATCTGTATTGCTCAACAGAAGAAAATGATAAAACTTAACTTACCACTCTAAAAAAGAATTCAAATGAATCAAGAGACTCTCAGGATAGCTTGGTGGTGACCCTGGTGGTTGGCTGAAGTGGGGATAAGGGATGACAGTCACCATGGCCCTCCATGGTTATGAAGCCACTGACATCATGGATCTACCTCACAATTAATTACAAGGCTGTGTTGCCATGGCACATCATGGGTCCCATTTTGTGGACTAATTCATCAGGACCACATCAGATTATGCCTCTTCAATCCTAATGCTTATTATTGGCATCAGTGGGGTGGAGAGTAAAATAATTACAGTTTATGAAAAGGAGTTATGAGGGGCATTCCCACTCCCAAATGCTATTGGTAGAGACCAGGCACATGACTGTGTCAAATGAACCATAAATTATGTTTCATTCATCACCACTCCTAAGGGAATATAAGCTTTTCTGAGATATGAATCTTTGTTTTATGCACTGCTGTATTTCAAATATCCAGAACATTGTCTAGCACATAGTAGGCACTTAATAAATTCATGTAGATTAAATGAATTGATATTTCTCCATCATGAAACTGTGAGAACTTCCAGGGCAAGGACTCTGGTCTTTGGAAATTTATCATCCAGGATACTGCCTGAAGCCTGCTATGCATCATTGAATGTTGAATCAATTAATTATTCAATTCTCAGACCTCATTCATTAAGTACCAGCCCCAGAATGATACTTTCTCTGCACTCTACCTAAACTGTGACTTGATAACTTTATTTTAATAAAAAGCATCATTCAGCAAACAATAACAAACCCCCAAATAAACAACAACAACAAAAACCTAACTGAAATCAAGTACACCAAAATCAAAATTAGACTATGAAATTTAAAAAAAAATAAGGCTCAGATTGGGTATAAGTGCTATAGTATGAATGTTTGTGTCCCTCTCTCCAAATTCATATGTTGAAATCCTAACTCTTAAAGTGATGGCACTAAGTGGAGACTTTTGGGAAGTGATTAGGTCCTGAGGGCAGAACCTTCATGGATGGGATTAGTGTCCTTATAAAATAGGCTGTAGGGAGTACATTTCACCCTTCTACCATGTGAGAACACAGAGAAAAGGTGCCATCTAATGAAGCAGAAAGTGGGCCTTCACCAGACACAATATCTACCAATGCCTTGATCTTGAATTTCCCAGCTTCCAGAACTATAAGAAATAAATGTCTGTTGTTTATAAGCCACCTAGTCTATGGTGTTTTGTTATAGCATCCCAAAAGGAGTAAGATAATAAGTGATAGTAAAGTTGTACAATTTCTACAGATTCATAGAGATAAAAAGTAGAATGGTAGTTTCCAGAAGCTGGGAGGAGAGAGCAATGGAAGGTTGTTATTTAATGTGTATACATTTAATGGATTTCAGTTTTGCATGATGAAAAGAGTTCTGGAGATTGGTGGTACCATAATGTGAATTATGTTAATGCTACTGAACTGTATACTTAAAAATGGTTAAGATAGTAAATTTTGTTATGTGTATTTTACCACAATTAAAAACTAAAAAATAAGAGTAAAAAATTACAGAAGAAAAAAATCGTATAATTTTATGCACTTTATCCAGAGAAGTTAGGTGACTTTCTCAGGGTCACATAGCTAGTGGAAGGACCAGGACTCAAGCTCAAGTCTATTTGATGCTAAAGTCCACATGGAATGCACTGTAAGAAGTCCCCAACCTTATTATCACCAAGTGATTCCCCCTGGTTATTTCTCCCTTTTCTCACTTCCCCAGCTCTCCTTGGTTCTCTGTCCAGCTCCTTGTAACACTTTCAGCAGCTCCTCATCCCAGAGATTGCTCAGCTCACTGCCTATACATCTGACACTGAGGCCTGCTAGAAGAGACAAAAGATAGATATTTTTTAATCTTTTGATAGCATAAAACAATTATTTACACTTTCTGAAGGACTATTAAGGAGTGCTCCTCGGGAGCACTCCTTATTGCAGAGCTGTTTTATGGGAGTGAAAATTCAGACAGGGGCCTCAGGGAGAGATGGGAATTGTCCTCCTTGTGCAAAGGGCAGAAGAGGGGCTGGAGCCTGGAGGATACAGAGGCTGCTGTGGAAGGAAGGAGCTGAGACTGAGGTGTTGATCTGTAGGAAATGTAGGAGACAAGAGAGGGCACAGGGTCAGGCTCATGGTGACCATCCATTAGCCACGTCAGTACCAGCGTTGACTATAGTCGATAGCCACAGATGAACACGCACAGTCCAGTGTTGACTATAGTCGGTAGCCACAGATGAACGTGCACAGCGACTTTAGCTGACAGCCGTGGTATGACTTTTCTAATTTTTCATTTATCAAAATAAAATTGTGAACATTTAAAAATAACGTAATGAAAACATATATGTAGATGTTACCTATTCTAATTTACATTACAAGTAAAGCTGCCTGTAATGTAAAACTGTGCTTTAAAGCTTTCCTCATCACACAAGAGCAAAATGGATTTGTCGTCAATGCACAGCACAAACTATGGTGCGGACTATGAGTGCCGGCTGTGGGCAAGGTTTTATGGCCGGTGAGTGCCGTACTGAAGTGGTTAAATGTCCTTAGGATTTAACCAAAAGAAGATGTGGTAAATAGTGAGGATCCACGTAATCAAGAAATTGCCTTCCCAACTGAAACTGTGAGAGGAACTTTCCCTCTGGGTTGACAAAAGTCTTTTTCCCTGTTTTCAGAAGCTGAGTAGCTGGATGAAGGAAACTTGAGGCAAGGGTGATTTAGGTCCAAGGTATATGGTCCAAGGTATAATGGATCTGAAGCTTGTAACTGAAGTCAAGGAATAGAATAAGCAGTAAGAAGATACAGGAAGAGAATTAATGTTTATTGGCACATTCCTTCCACTGTGTCAGGTAATTTACATGTGCTATTCTGTGGAATCTTTAGAGCCAATCTGCAAGGCAGTTACCTTACATGACAGATGACGAAATTGGTTCAGAGTGATTGAATGTCTTGCTAAAGGTCATACAGATTGAAAAGAGGAGAGCCCAGGATGTTACCTCTGGTTGTTTGTGCCCCAAAGAAAAAAAGTTTATGGGAACTCCTGAATTCTAGAGTGGGAATGTGTGTTCGATGAAGGCCTCTTTACCCCAATGGCAAAGAGCAATGTGGTTCCTTAGAGCATAACCTGAGAGCAACCATGGGACTGACCCAGTACATATCTAGAGTTCTTAAACCTCACGTAATCATGGTCCAGGCCACAGCTCCCAAATTGGTTGAAGCTGAACCAAATCTATGTAAGTGAATGGACCATGGAAAGAACTTGTGTCTCTACAAAGAGTGGGGTAACAGTTAAGATCAGTAAATGTTCACTTTGCAGAATCATCCTTTCTCCTAAAATCTAGGAGGCTGCAGATCTTGGGGAAAGGCTGACTTTGGTCAGGATCATGAGTCAGAGCAGCCAGGGAAGCCTTTGGATTCAGTGAGACCATGCTGTGATTGAGGACAAGTCACTTAACATCCCTGAGCCTCAGTCCTGTAAAACTTGGATAATTTTATCTACTGCCAGGGATATTGTGGGGGAATGTAGATAGTATTAACCAATTGTCTTCAACTTCAGGAACTTTCTTTTCTTTATTCTAGTGTATCTTATAAATAAGTGCATGTATCTTGCACAACACCGAAACACAAGTAATGATCCACTTGGGCATCATCTCTGTGTCTTGAAAAATATACACAATATGAAATTTAAAGATCTTGTCCAGGGAACACTATTCTTGACAGCAACCGTGAAAAATTAGGGATTAGACAAGAAGCCATCATTGCCTAAAATTTCCACCAGCTTTGTAAGAAGGCTTTCATCCTTCTTTAAACGTATAATTTTTATTGTCTTATTTGGCTTTTAATAACATATCCCCAAAAAGAGGGGATTGGTCAGTGGTATACTTTTAAGATTGTCTTTAAAGAAGATTGTTGTTGGCAAATTAATGCTTCCAAATATCTTCCACAGACTGCACTATGTATTTTTCCAGTGATAGATCACAGTTTGGACTTTTCTATAGTAGTAACAATAGAAAATAGTACTGAAAAAATTATTATGATTTGTTGATCATTTACTCTGTGTAAGCAACTGGGCTAAGTGCCTCATATGTGATCTCATTTACTCCACACAGACACCAGGCAGTATGTTCTACTGAACCCACAAAAAACAGAGGCAGTACATATTGTAACTAATCCCATTATATAGAAAAGGAAACCGAGGCTCATTAAAGGATAAGTCACCAACACAGCATCCTATAGACAGAACCTGGGAAATCTAGAATTGACACCCAATTTGTGGTAAGTCAACTTCTCATCCCCTCAGCTTCTCTGTAAAGTAGGAAAATGAATATCTACAAGTCTAGAATGTTTTAAAGGTTTACTGGGATAGCACATATTTAAATCTCTAACCCAGTGCCTGGAACACATGTGCTTAGTGAATGTTCAAATTAACAATGATAATGAAGATTAGGGATGTTATGTACCCAGCATCTACTATGAAACACAAGCTCAAGATAATATTTAATTCCATCAAGGAATGGCCAAATTGCACTTACTGTACAAGAGCAATCATAACTGTTTTCATATTTTTATTTATCAGAATGTTGCAATGTGGACCTCATTGTAAAGAAAAACAAATGTTGGAAAATTAATGTTTGAACATTGAGATGTAACACATAGCACATAAGAGTTTGAATAGTGTTCCTTAACTTGGTAAAAATCGAACCCATGTCTCAACTTTCATAACTTATTTTCAAAAGGCATAATAAATTGGGCATCTACCCAAAAGAGCATAAGATGTTCTATTATAAAGACATCTGCACCCGAATGTTTATGGCAGCACAATTCACTATTGCAAGATCATGGAAACAACCCAAGTGTCTGTCAATTCATGAGTGGATAATTAAAATTTGGTATATGCTCACAATGGAATATTACTCAATTCTAAGAAATGACAGTGAACTAACACCGTTTATGCTATCCTGGATTAAGCTTAAGCCCATTATCCAAAGTGAGGCAACACAAGATCAAGAAAATGGGCTCCACATGTACTCGCCATAAAATTGGTACTGACTGATTAAAACTATGGTGCTCAAATGGTGGTAGTGTTCACCAG